AATAGAGAAAAATTTGGACAGACATCTTTTGGTGTCTATAGTCATGTACGTTAAATATCTAAACAACCAGGAACTTAAGTAATATAATGCAACAAAACCTAAGTCAGTTGGAGGACAAAAACCAAAAATCCATGTAAAAGGTCATTGGTTTAATTCTCTTTTGATGAAAAACAAGAATTTCATTATAGTGCGCCTTTATTTTCAGGAGTATTTAGGAGTTTAATCCTTTGAGAAAGCAACTCTCTAATTTCACAGGCTCAACCTGTTAAGGAATTCTTTCTAGTCACAAAACAAAACAAACCCATGCCAGTGGGAGTTGAGGCATATTAGAAATAATTATGTTAGAAATTGTTGGCTGGAATCGTTTTCTTTTCTTGTTAGACTCTCATGAAGGAAAAAGTTTGGAATAAGTAGTAGGCCTGCCATATGGCCAAAACCCCTTCTACATTGCTGGCCATTTGATCTGCAATTTGGTGCTGAAAATGGAGATTAAGATTTGAGATTTTTTTAAACCAATGTTTACAGGATTCCAGGGAAGAAAAGAACGTTTGGCCTGTTTCTGGCAACTCATCTAACTTACAAATGGGATCCCCAAATAGATCATCATAATATTGATGGTGATCAGCTTTCTCATGTCTGGATGGAATTGAGAGATATAGAAAAAAAAATAGCAAATAGAATGACAGTCTTTTCCAAATAACCAACACGAAGCTTCTTCATTTAAAAGAGGGAAAAATACAAAAAAGTCCAAGTAGAGCATGAAAAAAACCTCTAAACCACTCACTGCATCCATCCAAAACAAATTCTTAAATTCAAATGAAGTCCCATGTTAAACTTATCTCCAGAGCTATTTGGGGAAATTTTTTGGCAGTAGAACTAGGTAAGTCTAAATGGTTAGGGGAATGAATTGGAAACAAAAGGTCCTTTGGAATTCATTCTTTGTAGAATGGGGATAGAGGTAGGCGAGGACACATTTTTCCACGCCATCCTCAGCAGATTCATAGTGTCTGGACTTCTCTGTCCATTGTTCTTATTACCTATTGCCCATGAAAAGAGGAACTCGGACATAATTCTTTCCTTTTAAAGTTTAAACCCTGCTCTCAGGATTGCTGGATTTCCCCTAAAATTACAGATATCCTAATTATTGTCTTTTTTTCTGTTTTGTTTTCATTAGAAGATTATATTTACATTATGATTAATTCAAATACACAAAAGATGGGTTTTCCAGCTTGCCGAACTCCCCACCACTCCCTATTGTCACACCCAGCCCAGCTCGCTCATTTATGTTACTGGCCCTTTCCCTGTATGTATTTGAATTTGCAACCCCTAACAGGGGACTATCTCATTCTTTAAAACAACTTCTTTGAATTATGTTGTCTGGATTTATCGTACTCAGATTACCCATCTCCCTCTTGATGGATATTTGGCTTGCTTCCAACATTTTGCATTTCTTTCATTCACTTATTCAACAAATAATTATTGAGTGCCCGCTACATTCCAGGCACAAGGGATGCAACCATGAGCATAACAGATGCTGTCTCTTTCCTCATGGAGAATAAAAGCTAATGAGGAAAACAGACATTTATTTTTAACTCTATCCCCATATTTAGTGAGCACACACCGAGTGTCTGACACAGATTATTTCAATTACTTCACTAACCTGCATAAAGATCCTTGTATGCCTGCTTTTATGCTCGTGTTAACATCCCCACTGGGTAGGCTCCTGGAAGTTGACTCTAGCAATTATTTTTAGGAAACATTGTTTGATAACATGTTCATGGCTTCCAAACTGATTTAGAGTCTTTGGATTTATGCAGGAAAAAAAAAAAAGACAACCTCTTCTAAGTTCTTGGAAACAAGAGAAGCATCTGGCTCATTTCCAAGGGTTTTGGGGGGTTTTTGAGCCAAATAAATAAATATTTCAAATGAATTTCAGATATTGTTAGAAAAATTTGGGTTT